CCCCTGGTAACCTCGGGCTGGGACTCCTGCGGACCCACATCTAGGTCCCCTCCTACCTGCTCTGGGGCCGAGACCCCCTATACTTACTCCTGCAACGTCCATAAGGGCTCCTGGGGCCGAGGGCTCCCCCCTGTACCCGCTACTGGGACTCCCCATAGCCACCTGCAGGGTGGAGTCCTCTCTGTAGCTGCCCCTGGGGCTGCTGTTGTCCTCTACCCACTACTGGGATCCCCCCATAACTGTCCCCAGGGGGAAGGATTCCCCCCAGTACCAACCCCCGGGGATCCCCCATGACTGCCCTTGGGGCTAGGACCCCCTAACAGCAGTCTCTGGGGCTGGGAGCTTCCTACAGCTGCCCGCAGGGCTGGGGACTCCTCCGTTAACTGTCCCCTGGGGGCTGGGAGCCCCCGGTAGCCACCTGTGGGCCTGCTAGCAGCAATCGGGGCGACTCCTTGTTGGCAGTGGCCCATCCTTGCTGATACCCTGCTGCGGGTCCCTCTCTCCCCGCTGTCAGGATGCGGATAGTGGATGACGATGTCAGCTGGAATAGCATTGCTGTGGTCCAGGAGAAGGAGGAGGAAGAGGATGAAGGGGATATGCCTGTGGTGAGCACTTTCGCGCCAGAGGACTGGGCTGACCAATGCAGTTGCACAGACTGTACCTGTCCTCCTTGGGGTCCTCCTTGTGTCTCTCTTTGGGAAGCACTTGCCAAGCCCTGTCTCGCTGTCTCGTTTGCTGGGTTCTGCAGCAGAGGTGGGTGAGTTTACCTGGTCTAACCAGAGGGAGATAGAACTTGCTGCAGATAAAAGTAGTTTGTATGTCAAGTATTTATGTTTTGGAAACACCTGCAAATACCAGAAGCCTGTGGTAGGTCCAGTATAGTGGTTCTTAACATTTTAAAGTAGCCCCTTGGGATGAGATAGAGGGTTCCTGTGCAATTGACTGCATGTGCTGAACTCTGCAGCTTGGCTTGTGGCATGGGCTGGAAATTTAGGCAACAAAGAGGTATTGAAGGCAAAGATTTTGGGAAGTTTTTGAAATTGGCGTGTAAGAAGGCAGCTAAGTGATGGTTACTAATGAGTTGCCAGCCAGTACAGCCAGTATTGAAGTTGTACTTCAACGTTTGTTTTAGAGAGCAGACATTCTTTTTTGTTCAGCCCCGTTGTTTACTCAGGTATTTTGTCTTCAGGTGGCAGAATTTATTGATGAACGTCCTGAAGAAGTGAAGCTTATGGAGGAATTCCGATCAAATACGAAATGGAAACTTTTAGGAGGTGAGATCAGACCTTTCCCTTCTGTCTGCCTGAATGATTTTCTGTTCCGAACAATTAAGTTGCTAGGTGGTAATAACACCTGTTAAAGAATCCTTTAAATGCTGGAGAGATCACAAACTGTGGAGAAACCTAGTGACAGTGACGTCTCATTTGTTTTTCTTTAGAACAGAACGAAGATTCGCAAAGCTCAGATCTTTCAGTACCTGCCAAATGTATTACAAGGTAAGAGGCTCCAACTAGAAATGCTTATATTGGTTAATCCTTGATTTCTAGTATCAGCTGTCTCGTTCTGCAGTTTCAAAGCGCTTCGCTGTGAAGCGTGAGAAGTAGGATATGTAGAGATTCCTTTTCCAGTGTTGAGTTATCTCTGCCTGGGGGACAAAAGATGGTAGCTAGCGTGTTGTTAGTTACAATGGGTGCCGTTTCTGTACGTTATATGAACAATTATTCCACGATCCTTCAACCATAACAGAAATCTTGGTGATGGTTGGCTGTAAAGCAGACCTGGAACACAGTAAGGATGGTGGTGTTACAATACACCTCTTTTCTGAAAGCAGCTGTGGGTTATTCAGTGGTCACAGGGAGTCCAGACTCTGAGATCGAGCTTGAAGGGGTGTTTTATTACGAGAAGATGATTTTACAAGGGCACAAAACGGGTTTTTTGGTCTGAATGTTGCAATGGTCCCTGGAAACTTTAGAATGATTCCATTTGAGCTTTCCTGTGACCCAAGTTGTCTCAGAGAGTTTCTAGGATCTGCTTTGGGAAGTCTATGGCTCAGTGATGCAATTTACTGCGTGGAAGTCCAGGATCAAACATGAGTTATTAACCAACTTTCATATTCAGAAAATTGGTTTCATCCTCAGCACCTACTGGTAACTTTACAGATCCTATGTGGTTTTTGTTTCCAGTCTGGAGACTACAAAATCAAAGAAAGTTAAACCCTCACGCGAAACTTCCCCTCCCCTCCCCTCCCAGGAAACAACGCCATGACTCCCTGGATGACTCCCCGCCAAGGCGACTGCGGCACGACTCCCCAGATCCGTCCCCTCCCAGGCAAGAGCAATGCGACTCCCCCGACCTGTCGCCGCCGAGGCGGAAGCGCCACGACTCCCCCGACCTGTCGCCGCCGAGGCGGAAGCGCCACGACTCCCCCGACCTGTCGCCGCCGAGGCGGAAGCGCCACGACTCCCCCGACCTGTCTCCAAAGAAAGTCAGTTCAGCAATGGGAAAAAAAGCCTACAAAGCCACAGACAAGTCGCTGTCAGGGGGAGTCCAAGGAGAGCAATCTCATCTCAAGCACAGCTTCTCTGACAAGTCCTTATCACGTCAGAAACGGAATGTTACTCCGGATCTGTCTCCTCCCCGGAAAAACAAATATGATTCTGACCTAGAGTCATCACCACCTCAGAAAAAGAGGACCGGGTCACCTACTCTGAAAAAGCAGAGTGGAACTAGAGGTGAGTGTGTGTAAGAGAGAGTTTCGGTGTACCCTCTTGTTTGTTGCTCGCTGTCAGGCCCCTCTCTGTGATCATACTTGCATATGCCTGCGGTGAGAGGTGTAAAGTTTAGAAGCCTGTCCCAAAGGAAAACTAAGTTAAACCCTACCCCCAAACACTGCGCGTTCAGAAGGAAGAGAAATTTAAAGACTGTTGTCCCATGCTGTGACTTTTTCCTACAGCTCATTTTCCTTTAAGGTCTTGTTTTTTCTAGAAGTTACCTCAGGTACCGCCGTATCTAGTTCTTTCATGGGGCTGTAGTCTTAATTCTGTGATTTTAATTAGTATGTGTCTTATCACAGGTGCTTCTCCAGCTACTAAAAAGCTCAGGCAGATTCCCTCACCTCAGAGGTGCGCGAAACATGACTCTGATTCTTCATCTCCACGGAGGAGTTCCCGGAACGCCTCAGATGCAGACCTTTCTCCCCAACGGAAGAATCGCGGCCTAGGCCTATTACGCCCTGACTCCCCTAAACGTGGTCCTCTTAATAAGAATCAGAGCAAGCCTTCAGACTCTGATTCATCTCCTCCACGAAGGACGTTACCAGCTGGAAAGGAGCAGCACGGTTCAAGGAGTCCTCCTGATGTCTCGCCTCCTCGTCGCCACCGTGACACTGAGGAATCTCCCAAGAAGGTAAAGGCTTTGTCTTTCCATTTTGTCTGTATGTTATTTCCTGTTGATGGATAGGAAACTTGAAAAGTCTAATGTCTTTTAGTTTATAAAGCGGAACTTCATATACCTCATGAATGCAGCTGTGCCAGACTGTCTGCTCCCAGAAAGAAGCGTGAGGTAGACATGAGAAGGAAGCTATTGTTTTGGCTGTCTCTCCTGAGACTCCTTTCCTGACTTCAGGGCATCCCCTCATTATGCCTCTGGGTCACCAGACAGCTCTCAGCTAGTGATAAATGTGATTTTTCTGTTTGATTTGCAGGCGAACATGATGTTATCTGGGGGCAAAGCTGGCTTGCTGTCAGCTGATGTGCTGCGGAGGGAGCAGCAGGAGCTCAGGAGACAAGAGAGAAATAACAAGCGCTTGGAAGGTAGGGGTCTGAGAAGGCTGTGCGAGAGTACTGCCTTGTTTTCTGCTTACAGCTGGCTCTGGAGGCTTATCGGGCTCTGTCTCAGAGTGCTGGGTGTTAGGGTGCTGTTGGAAAGCATCCCTGTGGAGTAGCATCTACACTTGCTGATGGATCCCTGTGGGTAAGGTAAGGGGCTTCTGAAATAAAAGGTTTATAAGCAGTGATTTCAAAGCAACATCAGTGAAATAGAGCAGAAGCCTCTCACCCTCCCCTTTATCTGCCCCAGCCGTGAGTCCTCATCTGAAAAAGCTGATTGATACTCAAAGAGCTCAGCCTACGAGTGTGGCTGCATGGGGCAGCAGCTAAGACCAAAAGCTGTGATCTTGCCTGTTACTGGCGGGTGAGCTCTTTCGAAAGCTAGACCATGCTTAAAAAAAAAAAGTTGAAATGAGTTGCAAGTAGCCATTGAATTGTCAGGAGACTGTGAAATGTTCTGAAATGAGTGACTTGGGGCATCTGCCATCTCCAGAGGAATCCCGGCACTCTGAGACCGTCTTCCGAGACAAGTCAGGCCGCAAGAGGGACCTCGTGAAGGAACAACTTGAGCAGAAGCAGAAAGCTGACGCGAAGTCTGAGAGAGATGAACAATATGCCAAGTGGGGAAGAGGGTAAGGGTCTCTAGAGCTCACTTGCAAGTTCTTCAAGCCTCGTGTTACGGCTTAGGAATTTGTACTCTCTGCTGTTTAGCCCAGCTTTGATACCACCAAAGTACCCTTTACAGTAGTGGTTTTAGTGCCACATCACTGTGTCACTTCACGAGGTCAGATAGTGAAGGGTAGTAGCGTTACGCATTTGAGCCTGTGACCAGGACACCACGTGTTCCATTTCATATCTTAGGGACCCTCAAACTGTCTTGTCTGCCATGGGATAGGGGTTGGGAGTGCTGCACACATGAGCGAGTGCAGGACTGTGATCAGTCGTGCAAGTCACAGTGCAGAATTCCCTGGGTTTTGGGATGAAGCTTTATGTTTGTCTTTCCAGACTAGCTCAGGGGAGGCAACAGCAGCAGAATGTGGAAGATGCAATAAAAGAGATGCAAAAGCCATTGGCCCGCTATATTGATGATCAGGATCTGGATCGAATGTTACGAGAGCAAGAGAGAGAAGGAGACCCCATGGCTGAATTTATCAAAAAAAGGAAGGCCAAAGAGAACAAGGACAAGAAAGGTTTGGATGCTAAGATATGCTGATATGGTTTAAGGCCCTAGGAGAGTACAAACGCAACTGCTGTTAAATTCATAGCGTAAGCCTGCCACAGCAGCTTAGTCCTAAAGGACTCCTCGTCTGGAGTTAGTGCAGTAGCGGTATTTCCTGCTATTGGCTTGTTACCAGTGCCTGCTAATATTGTTTGGTAGCTTAGAGAGCAGCATCCAAGCACCTAGGCAATTGCCAGACTTAACTGAAAATACATTTAATCAAATTTGTTTCCTCTGTGAGCTGCAGTTGACTATAAAACAGTTTGCACGTGACATCTATGCGTACGTTTTAGGCTGATGATGATGTGACCTCATGATTGTACTGAAGTAGTAATCAGTCTTATTGCTGTTTCTGTCTCTAGAGAAACCTAGGTACAGTGGACCAGCACCTCCACTCAACAGATTCAATATATGGCCTGGGCATCGCTGGGATGGTGTGGACAGGTATATGTTCCTGATACGTTTGTGTGTCTACAGTAATCCTGTGTACGTTTATGTGCGTACAATAATAGTAAAAATAAATGAGCTTTGGAGAGCTTACAGTGTGAGGATTCCCAATTGTCAGATGAACGAGATAGTGAGCATTGCTAAGGTTGAATGTGCTGATTTATGAATGGGTGATAACACAAACTTGTCTGGGACAGAAGGGAACAAGGCTTAAATCCCATGGGGTCCTGCCAGGCCTTTAGTGGCTCTGATGTAGGACTAGGGGAGGGTATGGTACACTGCCTGTTGGCAGAGAGTGCTGCATCTGTTGGCTGGTGCTTTCAGCAAGGGGAAGAACAGCTTCTGTAGTGTGACTACCTAGCAGCAGGTGGGAAGAGACCCGCTCAGCCCACTGGACGCAGGTCACCGAGCTCTCATCAGAAGTACCAGCTGTTGTTATGAAAAACTTGTGATATCTCTAAATTAAAAGTTTCACTGCTTCATAAAACCTTCTGCCACAGCAGCCCATGCGTTTCTTGGTATTCCTTCATAGGTCCAACGGATTTGAGCAGCAGCGCTTTGCCAGGATAGCCAGCAAGAAGGCAGTTCAGGAGCTCGCATATAAGTGGAGCGTTGAGGACATGTAGACGAGAGAAAGAGTGGTGTAAAACAGAGCTCCTGAATCAATGTTCATCTACTGTACTGTACATCTTCATATACGGAGGTTCACCTACTGCCACTGCCAGAGCTGTAAGTAATGGCTCGCTCTGCCTGGACCAAGTGCCATCCTCGACATTCAGTGCCCCAGTGGGGAGGAGAGGCTGAAGTGAGAGGCAAGCTTACGGCGCTCCTGAATGAGGGCTTTCCCGTCATCCAGAGGGGATGAACGCAGAGAACTTCAGCAGCGTTACTTGGAGCAGCGCAATGGCTGAAATGTGCTGAAGCAGTGTAGTGACTGTTGCCTGCAGGAGTACTTCTGCTCTCTGGCAATCTCTTGTGCGGTACTGCAGACAAATTGATTCCTGGCCTGTTTGTTTCTCTTCTCACAAACTATATAAACTATATGCCTGGTTGTTTTCTGCCAAATACTTTGTGCTCTGAAGACGGTTCACAAATCTTCAGGTGTCTTAAATCTCAGGTTTTTTCATGGTGAAAGTATGCTGAAAACTCAGTCGCTGGAGAGTTACCTTGTCCAGTAGCTCCGCCTATTCCAGAATTCAGTTGCAGTTTCAGTTGTAGGCAAGTTCTTCCAGAGAGCAACTGCCCCCTAAAGCTGCTTAACAGTGTGAGCTGATTTGCCTCTGGGCTGATGCCAGATCTCCCCCATATCCTTGCTAGGGAGCCCAAAGCACTTCTGATAAGTGTATGTCGTTATCGTGCCCTCTAGTTCATGGAGTCCCTGACTTGCAGTGGAGTTTGTAAAGCTAAGCCTCTCTTCATCTGAGTCCGAGTTGTGCTGGATGGGTCTGTATGTGGCAAGAAGCTGCTTGCTATGTATCACAAGTGCTCTGGCCTAGAAGAGGCTGAGAGAACCTGCAATGTTGTTTGTGACAGCAAAGTCTTCAGAAGCCCTAGCAGCTCCTTGGGGGTCATTTTTTTGTGGAAAAATACAGAGGGGATTTAAAATGTTCTCCCTGACTTATTTTCTTTGGTATCTAATGGTCTTGGATTAGTTCCCCTAGACTTCTCTCCGGACAGTGTTGCTGATAGCTGGGCAGTTCCTTAGCACTGCTGCCTGGAGATTTGTTTCAGTGTGAAATGTAACCCCTCTCATGACTAGATTTGTCTGGGCTTGGAGCTGGAGGCCAGACAGTTTCGCTTAATCCCTGCTTGCAAGAAAGCACTTCTGTTCTTGTTTATGTACCAGAGAGCATGTATTAAGTGCAGCCAGCAGTTTCCGTGGACATCCCTTGTCGTTAATAGTGGTCAGGGGCCAGTCATGAGAGTTACTCTTGCAGTGATCCTCATAGAATAGGAAAGGGTCTGGGTGAGAAGTGTAATGACAAAGTTCTCTGGAGTTTGTGAGTCTTGATACTTTCTTCTCTGTTTTTTTTTTTATTCACCGTTATTACATTTTCGGCAATCCTGGAAGCTGGGTGTACACTTGTAAATAACAGCTTTCTTTTTTACATGATTTTGTGTACTGGTGGATTTTTTTTTCTAAAGGAGGGACAAGGAGAATAAAGAAGTGTCAGCCTGCTGCTAAGAGGCTTGGGTATAATTTCTGCTGCTGCCATCACAGCCTGTGCTTGGCTCAGCCAAACGAATTGTGCTTTCTTAACTTGTTTAAGTCTATTGGTAACTGTCCGTGCTAACAGTGCGAACTTACTGGACCCTAACTGCACTGACAGTCTCTCCTGTATTTATGGAGTAGTCAGTTAAGCTTCACTGCATCCTTTGGACGCAGATCCTCCTCTGTCACTGCTTGCAAACGCGTAAGCCGTGGAGTACTATACATAGCCAGTGACTGAGGCCAGGAGAGAAATAGAGTTTGGGAACGAGCTGTGATTTTTACTTCAGTAATGAAGCGTGGAGAGACAACCCTGAGCAGGTGTCATTTTTGTGGGACCAAAAGTAGTGACAGGGAGCGCTTTGCTCTCACAGGCCCTATCCTCGGCTGGAAAAATAGTTTGGGAGTGCGAGGCAGCAATAGGAGTTCATACTTCAGTGGTGCTTGCTGCAGCATATTGAAAATGTGCGCTTTGTTCATAGGTATTTTCCAGTTAACACTTTCCCCTTCCATCACCAAGACCCTAATTTTTTCCTATAACTGTAACTTAAAGCTGTTGCAGCCTTGAAGAAGAGTAGAGAGAGATTTGATATGTGCCCGTTTTTGCTCTTACTTAACTGAGAGCTTCTGGAGCTTAAAAAAAAAAATACTGTGGAGCTATTGAATTCACCTTAGTAGAGAGTTTTTGTCCTGGCTAGATGCTTGTACGCTCCTGTCCAGGGCTAGGTGAGAGTGCGCTTTTGTCTTGCAGAGAAACAGAAAACTGCAGCTGGTTAGCAAGAGTGAAAGTCAGGAATATTAGCTGCCGTTTAGGAAGGCAGAGCCATTTTAATGTTGGTGCTAAGCACAAACAATTTCTAATATCTGAAAACAGCATAAGCTTCTGCTCTTCAAACTTACCTTGAAGGTTGCAGTTTTAAAATTGTAGGTAGAGGTACCTCCTATTTATTACTACCAGGGGGACCTTATAACAGAGTTCATTACAGCACTGAATTTATAGAATTCATCTATTATATGTTTATTACCAGATATTTTCTTGCTAAGCTCTATCTATGCAAAATAGCAGAGTATAGGAAAGCTCAGATGATGCAATTTTAACATTAAAATGCAACCCATCCTTTTATATTGTTCCCTTAATGCAAATCAGCAAATACATAGCGATGGCTGATTGAGATGCAGTTGGGCTAATGAAACATGGAATGTAAAATGCTTCTTAAGCTTCGGAGGGGACAGGAGAGCTGCCTCTTCCCTTCTGCTGCTGCTGGATCAAGTGCCTCTGCAGGGACAGAGGTTGGGAGCAGCATTACTGTGAGAAAGACACGCGGTTCTCCTGGTGCGAGACTGTGCCGCCGAGTGCCTGTGGACACCAGTGTGGAGGTGCTACCACCGCTCCCCCGGACTCCTGCTGCCCAGGGAGCTCTGCTGTGGCTGCTGGAGAAAGCCGGTGCCAGCAGCTTGGAGGGGTTCCTGCTCTGGTTTGCAGTTCTTCACCTTCTCTGCTTTCTGGGGTAGGTAGATGGCGTGCATGGTGCTTTGGCTCTCCGATGTGGCCTGTAAACCCAAGCTGTCTGAGCCGGAGCAGGCGCTGTAATACGGGCAAGGACCCTTCTGACAAGTGGTGTAAACGTGAGGCACGGGCGAGCCAGGCAGCCCAGACCTGCCCTGGAGCGGGCAGTCCATCAGCATCCTGCTGGCACTGCACTCGCAGCGGAGGTAGCTCGATTTGAAGGAAGAGAGGATAATAGGAAGTGGCTCTAAGGGAACATTAAGATTTGACAGGAAAGAAGTGTGAATGCTCTTCCCCTGTAGTTTCAAGGTCAGCTGCAGCCAGAGGCTCTCAGAGTGACTGTAAAGGACCAGCCCGTGTACACCATTTGTAAATACAGAGCACAGCTGATTGTGCCTCTTCTGTGAGAGTTGCAGGGAGCTGGCTGGGGGGGGGTATTTGCTTCAAGTGTGAATCCTTGGTTATTAATACAAACAGCGTGGGATGTAGAGAAGCTGAAACTGTAGTGTAACTGACAGAACAATATTCGCAACACATTTAACTTTGTCAGCGAGAGGAATAAAGCTGCCTGTGGGTTACCTTAGTCTTGCACATCTTAAAGAGAAGGCAAGAGGGAGGTGTTAGCAGGATTCACCCCAGCTACAGGACTTGACCCTGCTGAAAGCCTCAGGTGGCGGCAGGAGTGTCTCCACATGCTCCCCTTGTGCCATAAAGCCTCCTTGCATGGTCGTGTTAGCTGCCTAGCTGTTTGTTCTAGCAGTTGTCCTTTCCCCTGCTGCTGGCCCACGCTCACAGGCCCTTGCCTTAGCCCTTACGCCCCATAAGCGCTCCTCTTCCTCTAGGTGGAGGCAGGGCTGCAGGAGCAGAGGCTGTGCCTGGTGGGGTGCCAGGGCTCTCCTAGTCCTCCTGCCCGTGCAGTGGCAGAGGCCGCACGAGAGCGGAGAAGAGCACCAGCACGCTGCAGGACGGTCGGGCCGAGGCACGAGCTGGGGCAGTGCCAGTGCTGTTTTAGCAGCCTCACTTACCTGCACTGCATCCCTGGAGGCCCCTTTGGGGATGTGAGGCACATAGGGGGATCTTTAGCTGGTATGGTCTCCTGGCTGGCCCCGTGACAGGGCCTGAAACAGCTGAGGCTGGCTGGGAGCAGCAGGCCAGGTTTCGGCAAGCCCCTCCCTCCCAGGGGCTTCTCGTTTCCATCCTGGCTCCTGAACACCAAGAAAGGGGCTCTTCCTTCCCTCTCATTGATGAAGGCTTAGTTGCAAGATCATTGGCGGTGCAATTAGGGACACACCTGTTGCTGCCACCCCTGAGCCTGAAACAAGGCCCGAGGGGCCTCATCAGAGGCAGCTGTGCAGGGCAGGGGCCGTTACCCCTGAGGGTAGTGGGGGGTTTCTGCTGGAGGATGGGGGTGGCTTGGGCCGTGGTGGAGGAGAACAGAGCGGAGAACAGGGATGGTTGGGGTGCAGCCCTGCCCTTGGCTGGGAGCAGCGCAGGGGTGCCGGCGGCTGCGGGGTGGCCGCAGGGCTGCCCTGCGGGAGCAGGTGAGCCTCAGGGGCCGTGCAGGCTCTGGGAGCCATCCTCAAGGGCTCCAGGGCTGCCACGCTGGGCAGCTTCATTGCTCACTCGCTGCCCTTCGCCCTCGGAGGGGACTGCAGCACGTCCCTAACCCCAGGAGCTGCTCTGGGGAGGATGCACGCTCCGCTCTCCTGTGACCTGCTTAGCTTCCTTCCTTCCCTGCCGTGCCCCTGGGGCTCAGGACGCAGAAACGGAGCAGAGCTGGCAGCACACCCTGGTGCAGGTGGGCAGTCTAAGCAGGTTCCTGCTGGGGCTGGGCCCAGAGTCAGCCTGTGGCTCTGGCTGGGGGTGAGGATGGGTGCCACCACCCCGAGGCGGGCCGTGTTAGCCGGCAGAGGGTGCTGAGTCGCCCGGGGGCCAGCCCAGCTCATCCCGCAGCCTGGCGCAGGGGCGCTGCAGGGGTGCGCTCCGCGTCCCCCTGCCGCGTCAGAGCCCGGCCCCGGGTCTCGGCAAGCTGACCCTCGTACGCCTTCCTCTTCCTCGCGCATCCTGTCTATGCACGCTCCCGCGTGCGTGGGTCGGGGCGGAGGGAGGCAGGTTTGTCCCAGCGCCCTTGGCCTGCGTCCTGCTTTGCCGTGGCTGCCCTGCCCCAGATGTGGCTGCGCTTGAGTGGTTTTGGCAGCGGAGGGATCAGTAAATGCTCTGGGATCCTCTGGGATGAGAGGGGCGAAGGAGATAAAGCAAATGACACTGGGAAGCGGATCTCTTTATTATTGTTTCTGGAAGGACAACAGCCCTGGTCTTGGCGTTAAAAGGGAACTTTGATTAGCTTTAACTAGAAGAAGGAATATTAAAATCTTAATTTAATTTAAAACACTGTCATTCGCAGTCATGGCAAACACCGAGCAGAGTAATTATTATGTAAATTAGGCAGATAGAAAAATGATTAATAATTGCACAAATTAAAAATTATTGTAAACATCCTGTGACTAGTGATAAGTCCGTGAGGAGTGTGTGTGCGGGAGGCAACGTTGCTCAGCCAGCTCCTGCATCCTGATTTTCTCATTAGTGGGATTTAATTAGCAAATGATGTGGAGGAGCCAAGCAGCATTTGGGGGAGGTCGAGGGTCGGCGCGGGCCAGCGCTTGGTTTCGGATGACGGGAGAGAAGTGCCAGCCTGGCCGCCGGGCTTGCCAGGAGGGAGCTTGAACTTTGATTGAATCCAGCTCCCGGCTCTCAACTCTGTTCAAGAAACTTTGTGAAGAGGCCCCTTTCGTGGGGCTCGCCCCCCTTGCGGGCTCCCCCGAGGGCCCGTGGCCCACGGCGAGCGCGGGGGCGAATCCTGGTTACTGGTGGAGCTTGCTCGCTCTAAGAATTAATGTGCTTGTTTGTCTGGCATTTTGCTGCTAATTGCATAACATTATTTTTTTCCCCTGTTCGACTGTTTTACTTTTATACTTTTGACAGTGAGCATGATAATAATAATAATAGGCTTACACTGGCTAATAGGCTTACGTGGCGCATTATTCATGTCAAGGACAAGCAATTAAGCTTGGCCTCACACATAATAATTAGATTTTTTGTTGATGAGCTCATCGGTAATGCGTTTAGTTAAGATAAAGAGCTTAATTCGTGGTGTGTGACAGCTCCCCCCACGACCCCTGCCCACTCGTGGGACGGTTTGCCCGTGGCGCCTGGGCAGGGGACGCGCTGCTGCCCGCCTCTCCTCCGCGCCGGACGCCGGGAGGAAGCCCGACCGCATCTGCCCCGGTGCGATGGGCAGCCGTTCCTTCCCCGCGAGGTTGTGCCCGAGCCAGCCCTTCGCGGCGGGGGGGAGCGGCG